AAAGATGAGCAGATGAAAAGAATCCTAAGATTTATTTTCAGGATCCATCTTCTTATGCTGCATGTACAGACAGAAGATGCTGTAATTCAACTTCCTCTCTGGGCTCAAAACAACCCCCTGCATCTTGTTATGACTGTCTTGAATTCTATCTCTTTTTTTATAAAGGGTGATAAACTACGTAGAACACATTCAAAGACTGACCCTCCTCTGTTTGTTCTCAGAGACGGTGATGTGCAGGGACAGTACAAGGATGTATTTTTTTAATTACGAGTCCAGCACTCAGAAGCTTGGAAACTCCAATATTAAAGTTTCATTAGGTGAGGCAGATCTCCTGGCAGGGAAGGAAACCTCTTACTAATTTTTAAAAAAACTGGAAGCCAGTAATGCAATGTATAAATAACGGAGGTTTTACTAAAGCAGCATAGGCAGTAGCGATAATTCTCTTGCCTAACTTTGAATACTTCTTGGGTCGTAACAATTTATTACATGATGAACACTCGGGCAGAGCACGTGCCTGTAAAAGAAGTTTCATCACATGAAACTGTTACAGCCCCCTGTAGAGCACCCCGAGGGTCTGAATTCTGAATATTAAAATTTCTAGCTGCTGCACCTACCACTCAGGTGTTGAGTGAGAAATGACCCAGGGCTCTGAGGTGGATGAGGAAGCTGGGAATGACTCCATTTCACAGGCACCATATACAAATGGGGTGTGTGGGGGGGGAGTTCAGCTGTGTTTGTAGGACCTTTACAAATTCTCCCTTTTGCTGTTTTATTTGCCTGTCTCTCCCCAGATGTGCATTCAGGTAACACGTTCCAGTTTGCAGCTGCCTGCATTTAGACTCATTTTAGTGGAGAAAGCAAGCTCAGGATGTTTTTTAATCTGGATTCTTCCATGCTGAATTTCAGTATTACCTGTTCCAAGTTAAAAGGTGGTGTTTAAAAAAAACCAAAAGCTAAGTGAATTAGGAGGAGAAAAAAAATCCCTCCCACAGACTTTGAGAAGTATTAAAGAAAGAAATAAACCTACTTCAATAATACTTACATTTTTCACAACTTTTCTTTGCGTCAGTCTCAGAAATGACTGGCGAAGTGCAGAGTTGTCACAAACATCGAAAAGAAGGAATTCTAGCAGAAAACACGAGGCAGCCATGTATAGGTGTCGCTACTGTTCCACGTATAATTATGATCTCTTTTGAACATGTGAGTTTTGATAGCACGTTACACACCGGCGGATGTCACTTTGCAGAGCACACATTGGCATTTCAGCCCCGGAGAGGAGTGCAGCTGCCAGGGAGTGGCGGTTCTGGCCAGGCGTGTTCGGCGCAGCGCCGGTGATCCTCTAGTGCAGATACAAGCACGTCTCCATCCTCCGCTGTATGCACTGTCAGTGACTTTGGGGGAGATGTATGCAGCGCAGCATGCTGTCTAATAATAATAATAATAATTAGCATGCTCTGCTAATGAAGTGCTCTGACTTTGCAAGGAACTAAGAGAATATATTAAATGTGCCACAGAGAGTTTCTGAGCTCCATAAACTACTACTTGCTTTTTATCACTGGAAATTGTTCTTTAAAAGTGTAGTCTGCCAATAATTAAGTTGTGAGAGAGAAATTCTTAACAGCTGATTTGAAGTTTTAATTTGATAAGCTGGGGAAAAAAGGCTCACTGCAAGGCTTGCTGGAAATGTCACAAAGGTTCTCTGATGGAATGCCTAAGCGGCAGTTTGATAGCAAGCACAGCACTAGTTACTTCCTGCAATGAAGGCTGCAAAGACTAAAAGGTTTCTTTTTTTTTTTTTTTTTTTTTTTTTAAATTCTGCAAATTCTGAAATGTTTTAGAAGTTCTAACGTAACTGATTTTGTGTTTGCCTGCATATATAGATATGCATATATACGTGTACATCCTCATAAGGGCTCTGCCTAACTCTCGCCCTTGCAGATTGCTGATGAAAGGGAATTCTTTGAGATCATGCCTGCCTACGCCAGGAACATCGTTGTTGGATTTGCCAGGATGAATGGACGAACCGTTGGGATAGTGGGCAACCAACCCAAAGTAGCATCAGGTTAGAGCTGGCTGTATGAGGCCCACGTGAAAGTTTTTAACAGTGTTTGTGCCTCCTCTCTGTTTTGTCTTTTTTTTTTTTTTGTTTCACTCCTTGTTTTTAAGGTTTGTGCCTTTTTGTTTGGGAAAATCTTATGACCCAACATGACATTTTCTTCTTTTGCTAATCTTTACAAGATACAACCATTGGGATACTAGGCAGTCAGCAGGTTTTAGTATCACTTTAGTCGTCATTTGATATTCTCAATTTTAACAAACATTTTTAATGTTTCAGGTAAATGCATTTTGTAAAAGGGCGTCTAGGTTTAATGTGGTAGCACATCATATAATTCTAAATGGCACTGAAACAGAACATAAATACTTTGCAGCGTGTTTACCAAAAATGCTGATCTTTCTCAAGATATTAGTGGACTTTTTTTGTAATTTTTTAGTTTTTTTTTTTTTTTTTAAATGGAGAACTCTCTAGCCTTTCAATATGACTGATCCAAAAAATGTCAGTAAAGAGAAAATTACAGAAGAATACTTTAAATTACAAGAATATCATTGAAATTGCTATGTTTTTGGGATAGAAAGCCTCTATGCACAGTCGTTGTCAGAAGAAGGAAATGAGTACTTATTGAATGCAGCTTGTACTCTAATCTCAGTTCTAAACCAGTTAACTTCGGGGCAGGTTATCTCCACATTATCTATAGATAAGCTTTGGTTTTGTTTTAAGAAGCGTATACAGCTGAAATCCTGGTTTGAATTACTGCCATGAGCAGGTCATTGGAATGGTTAACACCTTACCCTGTTTTCTTAACTTCAGGGTGCTTAGACATAAATTCTTCCGTGAAAGGAGCCCGCTTTGTTCGCTTCTGTGATGCTTTCAACATACCGCTGATTACTTTTGTGGATGTTCCTGGATTTTTGCCAGGTATGCTTTGCACTTATATTTCAGCTAGTTTGGGGGGATAGGGGGGTGTTAAAACCCCATTTTTAAAAACTCTGTGAAAGACCTTCACTGTACTAGGCTTAAATAGGCCAGGTTTTAAAATGTCACTTTTTTGGGAATGGAAGCTCTGTAATCTAAGGACAGTAGTCATCACAAAAGGATAGCGAAATATGCAAGAAGTTGCAGAAAAATGGTGTGCCTAACTCTGCCACCAGTATTGCTATCCACGTGTTTGGAGGTCACAAAGCTTTGCTGGGCTTGACTGAGGAGAGGGCCAGTTTACGCAGTAAGTTAAGGCTGAAGTGTTCAGCAGTCTGATAGATGCTGGGATGACTGGTTTGCCAGGCCCGAGCGTGGGTATGTCACCCTCTGGAAAGCTGCTGTCTGGAATCCCAGCAAAGCTGTTGATTGTGGCCTGTCCAAGAAAAAAAACCAACCCAACCCAACTGCATTCCCTGGAGATGCTGCCCTTGTCATAAATGGTGTGGAAGTTGCGGTGTTTCATTATAATGAGACTCCCTGTCCCTTTAAATGTTCAGCTGTTTTATTTAGATGCTGTTTCATTTATATGCCTTTATTATGGGTAGTGTGGTACCAGAGGGTGCTTAAGTGCACCATATTGCATAGTAGAATGTTGGTTTACAAGTAGATAATGAAGATAAATAGAAGTAGAGAAAGGTAAAGAGAGGGGATCTGAGGCTTGATAGTGATCCTAAACTGCTGTAGTCAAGGAGTTTGTCAAGGTTAGTACATTAGCATTAGAAATTTCAGATTAAGTAATAAATTCTGAGAGTGTTGATCATCTCATCATCTCAGAAGAAAGAATCTGTCACACCAGCTCATGGAGGTGTACAAAACATCTCACAGTGACCCAAACACTTGAAATGGGCATTCATCTCCTGTAGCTGGATAAAACCCCTTTATTTAGAACAATTTTGGGACTGAATCGATGGCCAGAAAAGAGTTTATGTTAATTGGCTGTGGATGACAGTGTAAATCATTCAAATAACAGTTGAACTGAGCTTACACTTGGAAGCATTTTAAGTGACTGGCTACTCTCTTCTAAGTGTGAATTAGAAACTAAGGTGGTGACTGGATTAGGGTCTGTGAGTGCTTCCAGCTTCTGGGTCTAGGTTGAGCATCCCAGCTGTGTCCAGACTGCTGCCTGGGATGAAAGATGTGGCTGTTCCAATTGCTGCTGCAGGATTGGCAAGTCCCGCCAGCTGGAGGGGAATACAAGAACCAAAAGTGAAATTGCAGTTGAGACCAGACAGTTGTAAGTGTAGGCATAAAATTACTAGGCACTCAAATTACACTTGAGAGGAAGCATTAAGGTCAAACCACCAAACAAATTATTAAAAAAACCCCAAAAAACTCTTTAAAGAAGTTTTACTTAAAATCTTTAATTTTTTTTTTAAAATCCATAGCAAAGATCCCAGAGTACTCCAAGAGGTTATCTCAGGTGCTGAAAGTGAAAGACAGTAGGTGGATAAACTGCTAGAAAGTAATTGTAGAGTTATATCCAGTGGTCTGAAATTCAGAAATCCTAGAAATAAAATATATGGGATTGCTGTTCCCAAGTCAAGTCAGCTGGGCTGGTGTGTGGGACAGAACTGTAGTGAACATCCTATAAAATGGATGACTTGCGTTCGTATCTGCTGCCCGTGCCCATGCTCCAGAAGCACCTGCTGTGAGAAGCCTTGGAGAGGAATTCATGCTGTCTTTTAAGGTCCAGCATCTTGTGCTTGCGTGAAGGAAGACTAGCAATAGCTCTTTGGTATGGTGGCCAAGCTGCCTTTCAGTATGGACTAGAAAAAGGGGGTTGGGAGAGTGGGTTTCTAGGTAAGTGAATCCAGGTTGTGGTTTTTTCACTGCTAGTCACAGTTGGAGGCTTGAAAATGATGTAAGTGTATTTGGTTCCTAGGAAGATACTATCTGATGAGTGTTTTGGGCCTGTGAGCTTATATACAAATAGATGCTGCTTTTGGTGAGAGAATTGTAGAGTTGCTCAGCATCTTACGGAGAACACTGCCTGGGCGTCACCTTCTCCTGGATATTAGCATGGCTCTGGTTGTTGTTAGGTTTGCTGCTGGTAATGGATGATGGCAATTGCCAAACTGGAGGTGGGGTTTTTGTGAACTCCCTGGAGTGAAAAAAAGTTGTTTGTCACTTGTAGGTACAGCTCAGGAGTACGGTGGAATCATACGTCACGGTGCAAAACTACTGTTTGCCTTCGCAGAAGCAACTGTGCCTAAAATTACTATCATCACCAGAAAGGTAAATTGGCGTGCCTCCATGGTGTTCTTTTAGAGCTCCTGTTGTCACTAGAGGCAATCTGAGTTATGCGAAGCTTTGTCCATCTGTCCCACTTCTGCTTTCTGTCGTTGTCACATCTCTGTTTGTCCCATCTGGTAACACCTCTTCACGTCAGGTTACAAGAGGCCATTTCTTCTATTCTCAGCCTATTACCTCAGTTCCTTCATTCCTTTTGTCTCTGTGCTCCTCTGGAGTTGCATGTTTCTGCTCTTTGCTTTCTCCTTGGAATGCCTTCAGTCAGATTTGTCCTCTGCCACCCGGCTCACCTCACGGAGGCCGTGCCATCTGTCGGCGCACAGCAAACCCTTGCCATCTTTCTCTATTCTTGCCGCTTCAGTCTCCTTTTCTAAAACCAGTGCTGATTGATTGTGTCTTTCTTCTGCCATGTCTGCAGATTTAACACTTGCATGGTTTCTCTTCTTCCATCTACTTTTGCTATAGTCTACTTAACTCTTTTCCTTTTTCTATAAGGTACCTGACATCATGCTGCTGTAAGCTCTGGGGACCATCTGGGCCCTTGAAGGCCTAGCTTTTCTGTGCTGGTCTGCCCCTCCTGCTTGTTTTTCTGATAGGCTGTTGACTTATCACAGCAAAAAAGGAAAGAAGTTGTTTCCCTCTTTCTGTCCCTTTGCCTTCTCCAATTTTTCTAAATATTATCTTTATTTACCAAGCTTGCAGCCTTGCTGTAGTTTCCAGTAATACCTCGAAGCAGACTCCACTGCAGTTGGCTCTGCAGTATCTGTTCATCACTGCTGTCTGGACCACTTCCAGTACCAGAGCGGAGCACTGCAGAGTCTGAGTTCTGCATTCCTGGGCTGGGAAATTCCAGAAGCAAGCTGACCAGTTTGTTTCTGTGCACACGTAGGGTGCAGGTTGAGGCCTGCTGTTGCAAGCATGTGCAGATTCCTCTTCAGCTGCCATCATGAATGGTTTTAGTTACCTACAGCCCCCTTCCTTGCTCTTCTGCGGTTCTAGCTGAAGAGATGTCTAGTCTTTGGAGACTATTGTAGCAAAATGGAAACACTCATGCTCTTGTCCAGGTCAAATTTAGCCCCAGTTGCTTGCCTTTGGACTAGTAAAAGCTGCAAGAGGAACGCAGGCTATTGCTGCTGCAAGGTCACTTCACACTAATTTATCCCTTGGGTTTTGTTCCAGGCCTATGGGGGCGCCTATGATGTGATGAGTTCAAAGCATTTAAGAGGAGATGCAAATTACGCCTGGCCTACTGCAGAGGTGGCGGTGATGGGTGCAAAGGTAAATCCTGGCTGACTCTCACACTGGTGAGACAGTGACGCAGCAGCCATCAACGCCTTGACAGTGGTGCCCTAGCAAGAGAAGGCAACTGGTATCTTCTCTGAAGCGCATCCTGGAATGCACATTCCTACATGGTGCTGGGCAGAGGGGGCTGGTAAAGCAGACAGCTTTCCTCTGCCAGGGCTGAACTGCCCACACTCACCTTTCTCTCTAGGGTGCTGTCCAGATCATTTTCAGAGGAAAAGAGGCAGACGCAGAGGCAGAATATGTGGAGAAGTTTGCAAACCCCTTTCCTGCAGCCATGAGAGGTACGGTTACCTTGCACCTTGTGTCCCCCGCTTGGGTTTGCCATTGCACATAGATACATTTGTAGCTATTGCATAAACTTTTTGCTAATGAGTAAGTTAGTTAGGCAAGACACAAAACATCTTCAGATGGAAAACGACTGGTGAGATGTGGGGACTGAGCCGAAAAGCACATTTTCAATTTTGTAGTGTTAGGAAGCATCTCAAAACTCAGCCTTTTGCTCAGAAGTACAGGTGCTGTGACCATGTTTGACATGCTAGATGCAGACCCAGTGGCCTTAAGAAAGCACCAGAGTCTAGTTCAGTTCAGTGATGTTCCCCAGGACTCTTTGGAGTAAATTTTTCCATGTTTTTTTCTTCTAACTTTTCCTTCTAGCTTTGAAGCATTAACTGTGCTCTAGAAGGCAGTTCTATAGACTCTGGAGTCAGCGCTCCCTTTCTCCAGTCATGCTGGCTTACTCTGTTGGTTGGTTCTGTACCATTTCAATCCCGTTAATAGCGCCACAGAGCTGGGAAGGCTTAGCCAGGCTGTCTTCTACCACATCCAGTATGCGCAGCATTGCTCCCTCTGGTTTTGCAGCAGGCTATTACTGCTGTTTGAGCCAGGAAAAAGCAGGTTCCTGCAAGTGCAGAGTTAAGGGGGGTCTCTTCTCATCCACACTTCGAACCTTTAAATCAGACTTGTAGTAGTCGACAGGAGGAGGTGGTGTGTCTGAAACTTTGCATTAACAGGTGCAGTACTCAGTGAGTAAAGCCCCCTACTTAGCATTCTTTGGCTTGCTAACTTTTGCAAAAATTAGAAACATTTGCTTTTTTAATTTAAAAACTACTGACACGGGAGTATTTCCTTTTAAGGCTATTTTAAATTATTTTCTGAAGTTAATTTGTCACTTGTGAACTGTTTATTCCAAATAGTGTTTTGATTTAGTTAATTTACATTACGAATCAGATGACTGAGAGGCAAGTAATTCATAGTTGGTCAAGGTTTGTGGGGTTGTTTTGTTTTTTACAGGTTTTGTTGATGATATCATCCAACCTTCGAGCACCCGCCTGCGCATCTGCCATGACCTAGATGTGCTGGCTAGTAAAACACAGTCCAGTCCCTGGAAGAAACATGCTAACATCCCACTGTGAGTGTGAGGAGGGGCTTGGCCATGCTGGAAGACATGGCAGTGTTCTGAACACACATACTCTCGGTTTAAGTGGAGGTCTACTTTGCAATGGAAATACTTTTTCATTTTGATTTTGCTAATGAGCATCAATAAATCATGGCACATATCTCATTTAATTTGGGGTCTGATCAGTTCATCTCTATAAACCCTTTCTGGTGGGTTAATCAACACAACACCTGCTGCAGGCGAGCTGTTACTGGTTGCTCAAGGTCAAATGCCCCCTTGGCTCCTTCATTCCGTATGTGCTGGGGGTGGCTCAGACAGGCACAGAGCTGCAGGGACTGCTGAAAAGTGAGACCCCTGTGCAGTTCAGGTCTAACCCTGGGTCCACCTTTGGAGCCTGACTCTACTTCCTGCACCACAGACTCACAGAGAGAAAAATCCTGAGCTTGGATTTCAGTGTGCTGGAATCCAGGCTTTGCCGATCTCGGACTAATCTGTTCTGTTCCTCTGCCAGACTGTCCCGAGTTGCAACTTTTACCTGCTGGCTGCAGCAACACTGGGTCTCAGGTTGGTATTGATGGCCTCCAGACACGGGTGGGACAGAGAAGATGGAGCCAGCCTCCTCTTGAGGGACAAGAGACAATGCGCCCAAATTGGAAAAAGGTCAATTCTGGTGGGACATAAAAATTTTCCCCCCTGAGTGTGGGGTGCTTTTCTCCCTCTAGCAGAGGGTTGAAACAGAGCCCTCTGGAGGCCCCCTCCAGCCTCATTTTTTTTTTTTCTACGATTATTTGCCAGACTTGCAAGGAACCCCACCGCAGTAGATGTTTCTGCTCATTAGAAGCTGCATTTTAATTACAGCCCCAGAAGGTAGTGAGTGACAGCTACCGTCATGTTTGGCACAACTGCAGACAGCTGCCAAGCACATGAAGTCCTGTAATGACCTGTCTGTTGTAAGTAACCTCAGTAATTAATGGCACTGTGTTATAAGGCAGAGAACTACCCTACCTGCACACTGTGGCTGCTTCTGTTCACTCTCCAAGCGCGTGCCTGAAGTGGAAGATGGGCAAGACGGTGACTTTCCAGACAGCATATCTCTCTTCCCAGGTAGGTGCAGCTGGGGTGCTAGTGAGACAGCCATGGAGCTTGGAGCCTGTACCTGGGCAGGGGGAGAAGGGAAAAAAAAAACCCAAAACAAGAGGCAACAACTAAAAATCATCTGAAAATACAGTACAGAAGGAGTGTTTCAAGTATGCATCCTCACTCCACAGATTTTTGTAATAGCGAGAGGCAGTGCAGTCAGGTTACAGACACACCTGTATCTGCATCCTGGCTGCACACACATTCAAGCTAGCTGCACAGGCGTACCTGGTTGTAGCTCAGCAGCAACACTCTCTCTGAGCAGGTGCCCGTATGTACTGCCCCAGGGAACAGAGGGAAGGTAAACTGAAATGGTACCATGGCAGGGGTCATTGCCAGGAAGTGAGTTCTTAGTTAATTGTGAGAAGAGGTGTAGTCAGAGTTGGTAAGGACCAAGAGGATTTTTCAAAGGTAATTAGTAGCTGAGAGTGGCTGGGGGCTGGCCCAAGTTCAGAGGCAAAAGCTGCGTGAAGTGATAAGCACATAGTTTCTTCAGCTTGCCCAGAGTCAGGAGGAGACATTAAATGGGAAACCAAATCGTCATTGTCACAAAGAAAAAAGTACACCCTTTCTTAATTGTTCCTAACCTCATTGGTTGTATAGACATCATCCTCTCTTCTGTCCCTTGCCAGCACAAGAATTTGGCTTTTACATCCTCTTGACTTCAAGCAGTCAGTTGCTCTACCAGCACAGCGCTTTGGCAACGCACTGGAGAGCTGCTCTGGCCCTGCTACTCGAGATTCTCTTGAATTCCAGTCACCTGTAGAAACAATAGATAGAAAATAAAATTCTTTCAACAGAGAGCAGTCCTTGAACTCGGAAGCACAACAAGTTACTTACTGTGTTCCATGGTGCATTGGGAGTTGAGCGTAACTTACCAGCAGCTGGAGATTCAGCGTTTGGGCTGTGTCTCAGGAATAGTCCTAGAGTGCAGGTCAGACCTTGCATCCTATCCCTGTTCCTCACCTGCTGCATCTTCTTGCTTTTTCTGACTGGGATGATTTTTCTTTAGGAAGCAGGCCAGCTGGTAAGCCAGTCGGTTTTCTTTAGTGCTACAGAGATGAACTCATTCATGGGTTGAATAAAATATAGCACCTTTCTCTCCAGGATGTGGGATTAACACAAGGACATTTCATTTAAGGAACCTGTAAAACTTCATTTAGCCCAGCTGGTTGTTAGACCTTCCACGCCTTTACCACTTCCTTTTCTTCCCAGGTGGTCCAGTTCACTGCAGTCGTACAGGGCAGGAGAGTGAAATGTTTCTCCAAATTGGTGACAGTTCAAACAATTACAAGTTTTAACAATGCAACTCTCCCCAATTGTGTGATGACTTATCAGATTTACAGCAATCCCACAATAAACCCCCCCCAGAGCAACCAA